AATTAATTGATACCATCCAGAAAACCTCCAACCACCAACCAATCTCTCTGAGTTCAGATCTAACATAGACTGCAAGAACTGCAAGGCAACCTTCACTTCTGAACCCTCCCTGGATTCCTTGAAACATAGTTCACATCTTCTGGTCTATATAATTTGGCCATGTTTTCTATTGCTCTGTAGATTTCTGACACGTGGTGGAATATACAAAATTCTTCTAACTATTTGATAGGATGTTGCAGATCATCAATGTCCTAGGGGGTGAGAGAAATCATCCCATTATATTATAATAATACTGTATGTCATTTGGTAAATAGTCATTATACTCATCTCTGGTTCTAAAGCATGAAGTGGGTTTAATTCTGCTGTGACTTTTTATCAATAATTCAGTTCTTAGTTTGTCTCTTATATTTAATGCTTCTATCTGAAAAGTGAATAGAGAAGCTGGTTTTCTTGAGCATGCTGTCAGCTTTTCCTCATGAAAAACAAAATATTTGCCCCCAAAAAGTATTACTCTAGTTTTACTGAGTTGCATAACATAGCCTTTTCTCAAGTGAAATGAATTCTTTTCATAATAGACATTTTGAGTAAAATAATAATGGAAGCTAATATAGAGGTAAATAATGTACCAATATGGACTTTAACACTGATTTTGTAGTTCTTATGGTTTTCATCCAAATATTTTTTTTAAAAAAAGTTACTTTGCAAATGTAATGTTTTCATTCTTAAATTTCTACAGATAATATTATTCCATAGGTTTCACGCTACTCCATAGGTTTCCACTGTAGACACACATACACCCATCTTGATTTTTTTAATGGAAAAGAATGATTGTACATCATCCTTAGTGTTATGCCTCTTCACTTGCAACATATCCTTTTAAAGCCAGGGGGAGCATGTCTGATAAAGTGATGTATATAGAGTCGGTTGGACACATACAACTGGCTCTGCAGCCAGATGGCTGACTTTCACATTACTTTCCCTAATGGGAATAACATGACAGAACTGCCACCTGTCCAAGTGATCTCGAGGCTCAAGTTAAATAGTAAATTTCCTCCTGTTGGCAGCTGATTGCTGCGGTCTTGTAGGTTGATGGGTAACTTGGAGTACTTGATGATGGTATGTGTGTTTATCACCTTACATTCGATAGTCCTCTTGATGATTCACAGTTAAAATTTTAATGTACATATATATTTGTAGCTAATAAGAAAACATTTCCTATTCCTGCTGTTGCTATTTCACCTGAACCAAGCTTGAGGGTGAATATCCTCACTGGGTGATTATTATTTTTTTTACTCCTTTGTTTCTTTAGAGTAAAAGTAAAAGAAAACAGGCCTGAACTTACAATATCATACAGTACACAGTAATTTCTTCTTTATTAATTATGTTTTTAAAAAGATGAATATACTTTCAGGATTTCAGCATTGTGCATCCCTCCTGAAATAAACAATAAACAATATTAAAAAATAAGACCATGCAACAACACTGAGGGAAGAGAACAGGAAAGTGTATTTATAGAGTGAGGATAAACTTTATGGATGAAATACTTAAAGAAAAATGATAGAATATATCCTATTAATGTTTTTGTTCTAAATATATTTTCTTGGAAACAAGTCCTAATGATTTTCATGAAGTTAACTTTTAAATAAGAACATTTAGCTTTACCTGAATTTGAAGCTTATACTTCAGTTACAATCCATCTGTGATATGTGTCTTTCCATTACTGGGTTCTCCCAGTGATTTCGCGTCTGCCCTTCATTTGCAGCCTTGTTTGTTGTTTCATGCATTTGTTAATGGGAAGTTTTCTGCATTGCTATTTTTATACAGGAATGTATGTCCAAAAATGTATTCTGTATGCAAAATATACATATGTACAAAAATGTCTGTGCTAAGATTAGCTTGAGCAAATTTCTATTGAAAATATTTTCAGAATCCTTTTGCTGATCAGTTTCCCTTCACTCACTTTCTTCAAATCCTTTTCAGAAGATGTTTTTTAGATAAATGGATTTGGCATTGACAGTTAGATGTTGGAATTGCAACTAATTTATAAAGTTTTTGAAAAAGTTGGACATACTAAGGTTTGTTAGAATGGTTGGATGTAATAAATGATTTCAGCAAAATATCTAGTGGTTCCCCTAATAAACTATAAAGTAACTATGTAAGTATCTGCCTGATAGGATCTGTTTCCACAAACCTTTGATTTCATATCAATTGATAATTTGGCAGCCATAAGCTCAAGTATCCCATTTACAGTTCTTATTAATAACAGTTCTTATTAATAAAGTTCTTATTAATTCTTCTGAAAATGTTAGAGAAAGAAACTGAAAAAGCATTTCATTAAGCACATTTGAAAGATCTGACAGATGTATTACAATAGCATGCTAAGTTATAGTTCTTACTAACTATTCAGAGGCCTATTGTAAATAAAGTAGAATTTCTTGAAATTCATATTACTTTCAGTTGTGGTGTTCTTATATTGTTAAAATATTTATCCTGAGAAAGCAGACTCACTGGTCTCATACACTGTGTTTGCATTTCAATCTACCTTCATTCTAATGTGCCATTTGCCAGTTGATGGTTAATAATACCAAGAAAAATATATATATTTTCCTAATGGTCTTTTTGGAAAGGAGACAGATCTCCTTCCTATAGATTCACATTAAAGTGAACTTTTCAGATTTTTTTAGAGCATAATGCAGAGAATAGTTAATAAGTTCAATTCATTCTTCTGAACTTCCACAATAAATGGAAGTGTTCTCTTCAATTGTAATTTGGGATATTAATTTTATTAGTAGTAGTATTTTACAATGCACCTATTTACCTAGAAATCTTTCAATTTTACAGGTTCAGAGGACTACAGGAGTAGATTCAGTGGGGAGTGTTTTATGGATCTCATCTGTCCTGAAAAATGCCGCTGTGAGGGAACATTTGTGGACTGTTCCAACCAAAAGCTTACTCGCCTCCCCAGCCACCTCCCAGAATATACCACAGATCTGTAAGTGTAACATTTTTGTGAGGAGGAATATAGAATTCTTCACTATAAAAATCATTAATTTTCATGGCCACAATCAGATGTTAACAAATACATCAAGAGACGATATTCAGTCTTCTAATACAAATCCTGTACTGTCTCTGATGTCATCTGTACATCTTTGGAGTAAAATGAAAACATATTTACTTAATTTTATTTTAGAGCTGTATCCATACAGTTATTTGATTGCAAGATTCCTCTAAACGAAGTATTTCCTTTAAATAAGGGTGATCCACTTTCAAGTCTTTCTGGTGAGTTGCCTTCTCTGTTAGCAGACCCAATGAAGAGAAGGATCAGGCAACACCAGACAGATAAAGGTCCAATTTTTAGTAGGATATTAAAGTAACAGCTCAGCCCAGTGACCTGATGCTGCTTGGCTCACCAAGCTAGGAAGAAAGCATAAAACCTCCAGATAAGGTATTGAAAGGGAGCCCAGCTAGGCTGTTTTCTTTTTACATGCCCAAGAATGCCCATCTAGACAATTTTCTATGTGTCAGATTCATCTGTTTATATTTACTGTTTAATGTAATTATTTTGGGACCTAGCTAGGTGATAGCACCTAGCCAATATTGAAAACCTAAACTGATTTTGAATTGGTTAGTACACGGATGGAAAAGTATTAAGAAAGTAGTATGAAATCCCCCAGCTGTGGGCTGGATTAGGAAATTGGTAAAACATCCTGGTAGAAGGCAATGGCAAACAACTTCAATATTGTTGCCAAGAAAACTGCATGGATGTGTTCATGATGTCTCCTGCCTTGAGAATCAGGGTATCTGATTTTCATCCCATTTTGTTCTTATAAAAACTCTTCAAGGTAGGTTAAACAGAGAAAGGGAGTGACCAGGGAACTTCATAACTGTGGGGATCTGAACCTGTGTTCCTCCAATCTTGTCCAATACAATCACCACTATATAGCTTTCTCTTTGTCAATACTTCTGTGATGAATATATATGTAGGTACTGGTGCATTTGGAGCCAAATATGTTTTAATACTTTTATTTTTATTTTTTCATAAGTCGTCTACATGATAATGATATTTCAATTCTGGAAGCTACTGGAATATTCAAGAAGCTCCCTAGTCTACGAAAAATGTAAGTCATGTTTCTTTTATTTGTTAATAGAATCCTCTGGCCCAAATGTGAAAGATTCAGGCTGCATACTTATGCATATTTAATTGAAAAAAAGTCCCATTCAAACACATTTTGATTTATATTGCTTTTTTTTAGCCCAACCACTATGTTTTATAGAGCATGGATTATTTTATGGATGCAGCCTACTGTGGTTTATTTAATAAATTCTTAGTTAAACAAACCATGGCTTAGTATGATCTATGAACTGAGCCAGGATTTGGCTACTAGGCATACGGATATTTAGATCATAGTATAAATTCATTGAACCAGCCATCTGGCTTCACTAGTCACAACAGAGGGACTTTGAAGTATCATAGGATTCAGACAAAAATGAGCTATAAAATATTGCTTATTTATTTAAATATACATATGTAACTTGCATTTCTGTTTCAGTATGCTTTACACTGCATGGCCCAACCTCATTTAAGATTCTGGTATGTAAATCTGGAACCTTTAGATTTGGCCTGTACAAGTTGGGTAGGTTTGGAACAGGGTGAAAGCAGGATAGATAGTAGATTTCTGGAAGGTCTCTGATTAACCATCTATTGTTCTTTTAGTTACCCATTCAGTTTTCTCAGGACACATCCAATCACTCTCTGAGCAATGTGACATATGCCCTATTCCCATATCCACAGTACTTCAGTGTAAGAAAACATTTAATGGCTGGTGTAATCATTTAACAGTTGCTTCTTAGCTATAGCTTAGCAGATATGTATCATTGTAAGAGATACTACTCCACAAAACCTGGTGGATGTTTTTAAGGATAAATGAAATTTAGGTCTGCAAGAAATTGGTTCATGTCTGCCCTTTCTCTTATACCTGGTAGGCTACATTCACATCTGAAATGAATTTATAGTGTGCTGATATTGAGTTACCTGTGCCTGCTGCCAAATGTTAAATGTAGAGGAAACTATATTGCTGGTATGTTTATGTATTGATGCATCTTCTGCTCTTTTTCCATGTCCACAAACAGCTAAACATCTGGCACTCAGTATTAATTTCAGGTTACAGAAGGCCTGAGTTCCAAGGCTAGCTTGGATCCCTCTTCTAAACTCTAGTTTAGCTATTGTATCTGATACAGTTTAGTGAAGTCTGCAAAGTAATGAAACTGTTCTCATGGCTCATGTAAGTTGTCAATTTAAGAATACAGTATGTAGAACTGCAGATTTACAAACCCCTATGGGTTGTTCCATTACTTTGCATATTCCACTAAATTGCATCGTAGAATATATATCAGGTTATCTAACAGACCTTTACTCTTTTAAATAATGGAAGTATCTTTGATAATTAAGGTTCATTTCACTAATTTATTTCAGGAAAAAATTCAGTAGCTCTGTATGTTATGGTACCTTTCCAGCATGTAAATTTTTAAGGAGCAGGGATAATTGAACAAAGTAATGTTATTGTTCAATAACCATAGTGTGCAACTCCTATGTTCTCATTTACTTTTTTTTACTTTTATGAAGCTGTAAATACTCTGTTCTATTCTTGTCAGACGACAAGAATGTAAGAGTACAGGTACAGTTCAGGCATATATATAAATTGAAATACTAAATAAATAACTGAAGCAGCAAGAGTTATTAGTGTTGTGCAGTTGACCACAAAAGTTGTCTCAATCAGATTTGTCATAGATGAATCCAAGCAGAATATGTTTTGAAATAATTGAAATTATTTTTATCCTCCTTTATTTGTATGCGATTTAGTCCTATTGTAAAAGGTCTGGCCTATACGCAGTACTGTTGTATTAAAGCTAGATTTGCTTCTTGCTTATATTTTCTTAACAATAACAAATCTGTCTTATATTTGCAACATTTTCTTCCCATTTTATATGAAATGGAATTGAAAGCCCAAAGGAAGTAGAACACACATTTTGAATAAATCATTGTATGTACTGAATTTGTCTTTGCTTTCTCATGTATTTGAAAAAAGTGATTAGGTTTCTAATCCATACCGTAGAACAACTGGTAATTGACTGAATTGTTTATTTTGGAATATTTGTTAGCTCCTTTTCAGACAAACTTATACATTAAAATTAGAAATAGCATAAAATTAATCAACAACGCATGTCAAGCAATGAAATCTAGCTATTTTAAGATTCAAGCACACAGTGAACATAGAATGAAAAGGCACATGCAAACAAAACTTTATTCGCTGACATGAGGAAGAAATAATTAACACCAAATGAAACATTTGTTTATAAATAATCTGAATTTTATAATGGACTCTGAGTATTGGACGTCTGCAGAGAAGCCTGTCCTGGATAGGGATAGTCCTGCTTCAGTGATCAAGGCTCCATACATATAGGGGAAAATTGGGAAATATTTGGAAGTTTTTGATTGTAGGGAATGTAACTTCAAGAATTCTGGATGATTTATTTTGATTACAGGTCATCAGGTTTCATTACTCTGCATGTTTTCATAGGTTCCTTCTTGTGCCACATTAAAAATTATAATTTGCAGGCAACTTTTGGAGGAACTCAACATGGATTCATATTGCACCAAATCATTACACTGACTTCCTTTTTTCTATGAAAACTTATGAACATTGGAAGTCCTAAATAGTTTAGAATCAAAATATCTTAAAGAAAGCCTCTTCCATTTTCTTGCCCAGATGAGTTTACTTTCCAGGTGACATCACTGGGGGAAATACTTTTGTATTTACTCTTCTTTGATGGCTCCCCAACCTTAGAATGGTCTCTGGGGGATAAATAATTGGTGTCAATTTGGCTTTCTCTTCAACTTCAGGCTAAATTTGTTTTTGTTTCCCCAGAATTCTAAAACTTAAAATGTAAACTTTTACATCTATTCTGAATTGACTTTATACCAGTTGATCCTTTGTTTATTTGCATGTTGACTCTGTCACTGCATGTTCCTCTGAGTTAATGGGATATAGACAAGAAATTCTATATCATAGAGTAGCAGGACTATGCTTGAGATAAAAGCCTCTGATTGTACTTATGGGATACCAATTATGATGTGCCAAAACTGATAAGTACTATTCTTATCATTATCTAAGGAATGCAGCATATGGTACTGGTATGACTAAGGCTGCTGTCCAATCTACATCTTCTCTATATTACTGTGTGTTGTGTAAATGTCTTAATTGATCAAAGACATGATGGGTGGCAAAAGTCACATCTGTGGGCTCATCTGGTACAATAATTGCATCTGGAAGATAGCTATTTGGAATATAAGATGAGAAAATGGTAAAAGAATATGAATTAACTAGTGAAATGAATGATCAGCAAGAAGGAAAGAAAATTAGATATAATGTGTATCTGTGAAACTAAGACAAAGGGAAAGGATGTAATAGATTTGAATGAAGGTGGTCTGATCTGGTGAACTGGAGTTGATAGATATATGCAGGGAAGATTATTTATGAATAAAAGGGCTAAAATATCTTTCATAAAGTATGGTATATGTATGGTATATCATCTAGATTGTTGTAGGTGTATATTTGTTTTTAATTTATCTAATTTATAACCATACTCTCAGACAACCAAACTTGCAATGGCTTAACAGTATAAGCAAACAATATTGTCAATAAAATAACATTTATAGAAGACAATAAAAATTAAAGCATAATATTCAGAGATAAAAATATAAATGCAAAGAATGTAGTCAAAGAGAACAAAGAAGTGGTTAAGATTTAAAAAGGCAGAGAAAATAAAGAGCAATTTTGATGGAAGTAAAAACTGTTTTAGAAGTAGATTAAGAGGTTTAAACAAGGAAACTGCAGTAGGGTGCATAAATCAAGCAAATGAAAGTGATAAACTGAAGTGAGGGATTGCAGGAATTTGGGAGATTTATATTAGAATGGTAGTGATATATCAAAAAGTAGGACTGAAACAAATGCTATACATGTGTGTAGAAAAAAAAAGATGAAAAGGAAATGTTAAATGCTGTTAAGAATGTTAAAAAAAATTATAAGACCACAGATGTAGATGGCATAACTGGACAAATATAAAATACAGTTCTGGTTTGCTTTTGGATTGGAGCTATGCAACCTGTTTGATGTATATGCAAAAACTGCATCTGTTCCTGATGATTATTAACAAAAAAAAAAAAGTTCCCCTGTACAAAAGGAATAGTAGCAAGTGTGAACACAAAAATTACAGGGGCCTTTATTTGTTTAGTGTGCCTACAAAAGTGTTTGGAGATTTCTGATGAAAAGGATATGAGCATGAGAATAATTTGGGAAGTACATTGTGGCTTTATTTTGAGCAGAGGGTACATAGATCAGATTTTGCTCTTTAACAGGTCACTAAGAAATATATGAGTATAAGAAAGAAGGTTCATTATACATTGTTGATTCAGTGAAAGCATCAGATAAAATGGGCAGGCTTGAATTATGGAATGTTTTGTGAGAGCATGGAGTTGAAGGTTGGTTGCTGAATATGATTAAATGTTGAGCAGGGAAGAGAATAAGGATGTCAGGTGTCCATTTAGTTCTTTAATGTATTTATGGATAAATGTAGAAGAAATGCTTGTGGTGACAATATAAGTGGGTTGCTTATATAAGTACATCAAGGTACATGTAATTTTGTATGCAAAGAATGCCATGTTGAAGCCTGAGAACCTAAATTATTTTCAGCAGATGTTAGATAATTATATACCACCATGAGAAGTGTAGATCTGAAAATTAATGTATCAAGTACCAAGATTGTTGTTTTCCAGAGAAAATGGAGCTAACAATTGCAATTCTTACCTAAATGTCAAAAACTAGAGCAAGTTGATTAATTTTTGTGCCTTAGTAGTAGAATGTTTACTAAATATGAGAAAATGGACAAAGAAATTGTTCAGACAGGCAAAAGCTGGGGGAAAAGTAGAGGATAGTATGTGGTCAGTTGTAAGGAGTGAATGTCAAAAGAAGCAAAAATGGCTACATATAAAAACATACTGCTGCTCATACTATGGAAGTTTGAATTGGATATTGCAAGAGAAACATCAGAGTAAGTTGGA